TATAACAGCATGTGCAAAGAACTGGAGCCAGAGAATAAAATGGGAAGAACTTGCTTGGCAACTTTCAAGTTGAAAAGAAAAAAATTAAAAACAAATGCAAGCTTCTAATTTCAATACTGAGAGATGCTACGGGCAAAATCATGAAGCATCAAAAGAAGATGGAAGGAATATACAGATTATTTTATCAAAAAGAACTGATTGACACTCAAGTATTTTAGGACGTATATGGAAAGAGAGCCAATGATGACGAAGGAAGAAGTTCCAGCTGCACTGAAGGCCCTGGCAAAACATAAGGCCCCATGAATCTATGCAATATCAATTGACATATTTCAATTAACAGATACAGCCCTGGATGTGCTCATGAGGTAATACCAGGAAATTTGGAGAACAGCTGACTGGCAAACTGACCGGAAGAGAACCATATTTATCCCCATTTCCAAAAAAGGTGATATAACAAAATGTGGAAATTATTACTATATCAGTATCACATGCTAGTAAAATACTGATGAAGCTCATTAAAAAAATAGCTAGAGTTGTATACTGACAGAGAACTACCAGAAGTTCAAGCTGGGTTTAAAAGAGGCGGTGGCACTAGGGATCTCACTGCTGATGTAAAATGGATCCTGGCTCAAAGCAGAGAACACCAAAAGAATATAGATTTGTGCTTTACTGCTTATGCAAAGGCATCTGACTGTGGATCATAACAAATTATGGCCAAAAATTGAGACTGGGAGTCCCAGAACACTTAATTATGCTCATACAACCTCAATACCTAAACCCAAGAAGCCATTCTGAGAATAGAGCAAGGGAAAGAACATTGCACGGTTTAAAATCAGTCAAGGTGTATGTCAGGGTTGTATCCTCTCTCCCTATTTAGTACAATGAGCAAGTTATTAGAGCAACTGGACTCAATAAAGAAGAATGTGGCATCAGGATTAGAGGAAGAATCATCAACAACCTGGGTTATGCAGATGACACAACCTTGCTTGCTCAAAGTGAGGACCTGAGACTTGAAATGTTTGCTGCAGAAGATCAAAGATTACAGTCTTCAATATGGACTGCACCTCAACATCAAGAAGACAAACATCCTCACCACTGGACTGATTAGCAACATCATGACAGATAAAGAAAAGACTGAAAACTGAAGTTGTCACTAATTCCATATTACTTGGATCCACAATCATTACCCTTAGTACCAGCAGTCAGGCGATCCAGAGATGCACTGTATTGGGAAAGTCTGCTGTCAAGGACTTCTCTAAATTACGGAGGGGCAATAACGTCACTTAAAAGACTACAGAACACCTGATTTAGACCGTGGTCTTTTCAATTATTTGCTATACTGCTGAGAGTTGGACAATGAATAAAGATGACAGAAGAACTGATGCCTTTGAGCTATGGTGCTGGAGAAGATAACTAAATATTCCATAGACTACCAAAAGAACAAACAGATATATCTTGGAGAAGGTGCAATCAAAATGCTCCCTGGAGGCAAGATGGCAACACTTTGTCTCGTCTACTTTGTACATGTTGCAAGGAGAGCTTATTATTTGGAGAAGGACATCATACTTGAAAAAGTGGACAGTCAGTGAAAGCAGCAGAAGACCCTTGTCAAGATGGACTGACAGAGTGTCTGCAGTAATGGGCTCAAGCGTGTCAGAAATGAGGACGAGGGTACAGGATAGCACAGGGGTCAGGACTGTTATTCACCAGGTCACTGTGAACTGTACTCGACTAGAGGACACCTAATGACAATAAGAGGACATTTTGTATGTACCATTTCACCTGAACAAAGCCTGAGGAGAAGATATTACTCCCATTTAATACTTAAAGAAATGGAAGCACAGGATAACTTAGCTAAACTTTTTTCTTTTGAGTTATACTATTTAATAATTTCCTAGATCACTACCATTAAATGCCCAACCTACCTCTTGTTTTGCTTTTCCTATTTTGTTAGTCTACAACTGCTAAATTTCTATTATATGGGTTGCTTAATTGGAGCTCTACGCAGATTAATAAAGTCTAGCTATACCAGGGCAAAATCCTTAATGACACTGTCCCAGTTCAGTACAACCACTAATAATTAGTACTCCACACTGTACTACTTTATTAGGCACTTGGCCAGAAACTTGGAAAGCAAAACTACCTGCATTTAAGTCTGTCTCTTACTCCAAGAGTCTGAATGACAGAGTGTGGAAAACTCTTGGCAAATCAAATTCCTAACAATGGCAAATACAACCAGAAAAATCATCACAGCATCACCAGCAGCTATCTGCTCCCTGGCTGCTGCTCACTCAGATGCTGATTCTCTAACAGTCACTTCACCCCTCCTTCTGTTGCCTTGGCTTTGCTGCCATTCTTTATGCTCTTAACATAGTCACCATATTTCCAAGCCTCAATCTCACCTTTCCCTATAAGGAGAAAGGAGTTGCCCTGGCAACCTAAAATACAGTTTGAATCCACAAACTGCTCTGGGAGAGTAAGATGGGTAGACTCCTTCCCTGAGATTAACTGTCTCTGAAAACACACTGAGGGTTCTGCTACACATTGGTTCTGACTTAATGGCAAATAAAAACTAAGACCCATACACTATATGAGGAAAGAGTATGTTTGTGTCTGAAGGGTTATGGTGCAGAGGGTCAGAGAAAAAGAGGGAGGTCTTCAACAAGATTGACTGATGCAATGGCTGCCAACAAGCTCAAACAGAGCAACGACTGAGGATAGCACTGGACCATGGCGTGCCTCGTTCTGTTGTGCACAGGGCTGATGTGGGTCAGGACCAACTTCACCACACTTAACAACAGAAACCAAGAAAACAATAACAAAGTATGGCAGAGCTGGAAGGATAAATGTTTCTGCCAAAATCTTACTTAACGGCTGTTTCACACTGCCAGATGGAACAGTCCAGTTTTGCTGTACATGGCATTTAAATATTACTCATCCACAACTATGACCTACATTCCAAGTGAAAGTCGTGTACTTACAGAGGCAATACTCATCCAAAGACATTTAAAATGGATTTTCTTCACAGTAATCATTTAAGATTTAAGGAAATGCTGGCATCTAAATGTTGTCTGTTGTTGTTGCGTGCCGTTGAGTCACTTGTGACTCATAGTATGTACAACAGTCCTAAACTCTGCTCTGTCCTGTGCCAATCACACTGTCTCTGATACATCCATCTGGATTACCCCAGTCACTGAATCAACCCACCTCATAGAGGGCTTTTCCCTCCTGAACCATCCCTCCACCCTACCAAGGATGATGTCCCTCTCCAAGGACCAGACCCTCCTTACAACATGTCCAAAATATGTCAGATGAAGCCTCAGAATCCTTGCCTCCAAGGAGCTGCCCAGTTTGACCCTTTCCAGGATGAATCTGTTTGTTTTCTTGGCAGTCCATGGTACATTCAATACTCTTCTCCAGGACCACAGCTCAAAGGCATCAATTCTCCTCTATCCTCCCTACTCACTGTCCAACTCTCTGACACATAACAAATGATTGCAAAGACCATGGCCTGTATCAGATGCACCTTAGTCTCCAGAGAGACTTCAGTACTTTGGAGAGGTCCCTGACACTCTCATTTTAAAAATCAACAATTATAGAATGAAAGTGAAATTAATTTCATCCTATGTACCCTGTAAGGTGTAGGCAGCCTATTCCACATAATGTAACTTACCTTTTAGCAAAACAACTGCACTTTTATCCCCACTCTTTATTACCATTTACTTTTTAAAATAACCTTATATGATGTTATCTGTAAAATAATAAAAAATTACATGCATTTTCCTTAATTTTTGTATTTATGAAGACTTTTGTAAAATTATTGTTTAGTTCTTCTAGATAAATTACAGTTGTACTGGGTTTTCTTTCTTCTTATCACTTTCCCCAGAGCCTTAAGGAGGAAAAGGAATGGCAGATAATGTAGAATAAACTAGGTAGCACTGGGAAGCTCAGAATTAATATCTCTCTGAGGAAGAATGAAATAACAATTTTGCAAAAGCAAAGTTTTACTGGTTAGGTAGAGAGTCAAGGGGGACAAAGCAAAAGAAAAACCTGTAAGAGGAATTGCTAGATATTGTGGGAATTAATACTTTGGAAAAAATCTAGAAAAGAATTACCTACTTCAAAAATAGGTGGACGTTGCAAGTCTCTTGATTTTTTTTTAAGAAAGGTAAAATTTCTTGAACATCGTTAAGTCCCCTCATTGTACTCATTTTCATGAAATGAATCAAGATAGAAACAATGTGGAGAAACATAAAGACATCTAAGTTAAATACAAACTATGTATATCAGTGATAATGAAAAAATGAAATTAATAAGAAATGACAATTAAAAAGTGATTAAAATTGCATATTATAACTATTAGAGTAAGTGAATGAAAGGAGATCGTGAAGGGATGTTAAAATAGGCTAACCAGAAGGAATTTACTGCTTTTTAAAGAGAAGGCTTTCAGGAGGTTTTTAAGATTCCAGACTCTGGCGGAATAGCAACATGAGTTTAGCAACGTTCCAACCAACCACAGGAACATAGCTCAGAGGGGGAGTGAACTGATTTATATGAATGGGGCATTGAGTAAGCGAGTCTGGAAGAAAGGGAAATCAAGGGAAACAGGGCTGGTTCAGGGTGCACTAATTAAGCTCTCCAAACGAGAGAAAGGGGTAAGGCGGGTGCGGGGGTTGCGGGCAAGCAAAATTTTAAAACACAATAGTTTCTTCACTTATTTCAACAGGTTAAGTCAAAGACTAGGGCTTGCACGATCTAGCAAAAAGCTGGCAAACAGGGTTGCACTGGGTGAAAAATTTCGAGACGGTCTTTTCCGATGAAACGCAGTCCTGAATTCTCGCCTGGGTACCATCTGGCAAGAAGTGGAAAGGACCAGGGATGCTGGGGGCAGGTGTTCCTTGGGTGTTGGCAGGAACTATCGAGAGCTGAGGCTCGGCGACGGGACTAGTACTTAAGTACAAGCGGGCGGTGGTAACTGCGCGTGCAAACCCCAAACTTACCTTACTGTCATCCATCTCGGCTGAAAGGCCGGCCGGCCCGGCGCTCCCTTCCCAGGCCCGCCCCCGGTTCAGCCGGCCTGCCCCGGTCCGGCCCCCGCCCCGGGGGAAGAAGGGGATATGGTTTTAACTGCCTCCTCCTCTTGCCTAACAGCTCGCCTTCCTGATGCCACAGGCACAAGGACGAAGGACCAGCTCAGGAATGGCAAAGCGGACCCTGGAGGTGGCCCCAAACGCCTCCCTTCGCCGCCGCCTCCTCCTCCCCCTCCATGACAGTCTCGGGGTGTGTTTACAGACGTTCTGGAGACCCGCGGGGATCGGGGTGGGCGGGGGACGGGGGGAAAGGCTGCGCGCGGGCCCACGCCTTCGGCTTCCGTAGCAACGCGGCATTCTGGGTATTAGAGTTTCCTTGACTGCCCTCTGCGCGCTGTTGATGGAAAAGAGAACTACAATGTCCACATGGCCCCTGCAAGGAGTGCCTGTTTCTCCCCAGTCTGCGAATTCTGCGGAGGTGGGGGCCCAGTGGGAGGAAGAAACTACGTTTCCCACACTGCACTCGACCGTCTCGGCCCCTCAGCGTGGCGGCTTGGCCGGCAGAAGAGGGAGGTTGGAGCAGGCGCGGCTGTCCTGAAGGGGGCGCCCGAGCCGTGAGACCTCGGACTTCTGCGCCTGCCTCTTCATGGGAACGCAGGGGAGCAGTAATAGGCTTGTTTTTGTTGAAGTTTTTGTTGTCGTTGTTGTTGTCTTTAGATTAAAAAATAGAATGTAAAATCACTAACCACTTTGCGAAGCAGCTTAGCAGTTCCTCAAAATATAAACCTTGGGGTTGCCATGAAGCAACATGAAAACATGTCCATACTCAATAAAGTTGTACGTAAATGATCATAGCAGCATTTGTTGTTGTTGTTATGGACTGTTGAACAGGAACTGACTCCTAGCTGGAGTTCTTGCGGGTTTTTCAGAGCCTGTAAATCGAGCAGAAGATTGCACATCTTGCTCCCTTGGAGCGACTGGTGAATTCGAACCTCCTGCCTTTAGGTTGGCAGCACAACTTCTTACCACTAAGCCACCAGAGCTCCTCAGTCATGGCGCAAAAGTGGGACCAATTAAAATGTCTGATGAATGAGTAACAAAACGTGGGATAACCCTAAGCCAGATATTTTATTCAACCGTAAAAGGAATGAAGTACTAATATGCTACAACATGGGAAAATGTGAAAACATGCAAAGAACATCACTTTGAGAAGTAAGGTAAATCTGAGCCAAGCCTTTATGTGAAAGAAGTCCGTTACAAAAGGCCACGTACTGTATAATTCCATTGATATAAAATTCCTGGAAAAAGGGCTATTCCTTGGAGAGGGGACATCATGCTTAGAAAACTGGAGGGTAGGGGAAAGAGAGGACGATCCTAAACAAGATGGATTGACAGTGACTGTTGCAATGGGCTCAAGTATGTCAGAACATTATGAGGATGACACAGCATAGGAAAGAGTTCTTCTCTGTTCCTCATAGGGTCTCTCTGAGTTGTACTCGAATGAATGGCACCTAAAAATAACCAACAAAAACAGATAGCAGAGTGGTGGTTGCTGTGAGTTAGTTGGGGGTTTGCCGGTAGGAGGTGGGGAATGACTGCTAATGGAGGGAGTTTCTTTTTTGGGTGAATGAAAAGATTCTAAAATTGATAGTGGTAATAGTTGTACAATTACATAAATATATTAAAAGTACTTGAATTGTACACTTAAACTGGGTAAATTTTTATGGATGTAAATTATGACCTAATAAAATTTAATACTAAGTGTCTTTGTTACTTTGGTTTTAACTTACCTTGAGCCTTTGAGAACTTGATGAAGACCGCGTATTTATTAATACTACTTCTGGAGAGCCCTTTGAATCACACTTTTGGGCTGCTTGATTGTTTTGGGTTTCTTCCTAAACTCTTTCAAAATGCAACTGAGATAGTTAGTAATAAAATCCAAGACATGCGAATTTTAAATAAACGGGGGAAAAGAGATTGCTCTTTAAAAAAGAGATTGCTTAATATATGTATGTCTCATGCAATATTTGAGATAAAGTCTTACTAAAAAAGAAGCTGCTGGTTATCTGAAATTAAAATTTAACCAGTCATTCTCTTTTATTTGGCAGTCCTAATGCTTGGGAGGGTGGAGAGACGGCGCAGGAGGGGAAGACCGTCTATGAGATGGATTGATTTAGTGATTGGGGTAATCGGGATGGGTGTGTCAGAGGCAGTGCTGTTGGCGCAGGATAGAGCAGGGTTTAGGACTGTTGTGCATAGGGTCGCTATGAGTCGCAAAAGACTCCACGGCACATAACAACAACAACAAAAATTGAGGAGCAAGGATGTATATCTCTTCGAAGATTATGATAAACTTGACCCAGCCCAGGGTATTTTCAGTCATCTTATGTGCATGTGAAAGTTGGACAGAGATAAAGATAGAAGAAGAATTAATACCTATGAATTATAGTATGTCAAAAGAACAGAAAAATATTTTTTGGAAGGAATGCTGTCACAATGCTTTTCGGAGGAGGATGACTTCATCCTACATATTTTGGGTACTGTAGTGCTAAGGATTTATTGTTCAAAATGCCCCAGCCATTGACTGACTTTGCCATGTGGATTGGAGGATGAATAGGGTGTGTTAGCCTATCCAGAAAGGGATTGGTTAGCCTTACCAATCCACAAGGAGATAGGCTTGTTTTATCATTAAATTGAGCAGATCAGCAGCTGAATCTGTCCTTTGGGGCTAGAGATTCATGTGCCAGCCAGATTAGGACCTATGGGAGCAGCAGCCACAGAAGTTTTAGTGGAGAACCAGAGATCTGACATGAGGCAGAGAGGGTCTTGACTATTGAATCTCAAGGTTATTGGAGGACTGGTGGGGGCTTGTGGGGGAGAGCCATAACTGGCAGGACTAAAACCCTAAAGCTAGGAGTCTGAAGGTTGAAGTACCTGTGAGTACCTTTCAGAAGCTGTCCTGAGTGATTGTACTCGGCTGCTAATCTGAATTATAGCCTTTTTACTTCCCTAATAGGGTTTTGTGTGGTTTATGAGCTATTCCAATAGATTTTGGACCCAGTAAAGCAGTAAGATTAATGTTGTGATGAGTAGAAAGAGGTGCAGGAGCCTAGGGGACATGTCTGATCTCATGAGAATTGGTCCATTAGGACCAATGAGGAATTTGTGTTGTTGATGGGGACAGTTCTCTTTTGTGGAGTTGGTAAAGGCCAATAGACTGACATAATGGGTGTAAAGTATGATCTCAAGAACAACAGTAATTGTGTGGATGGCACAGGACTAAGTGATATTTATTCTCTGTTGTACAAGAGGGTTGCTATGAGTCAGAACTGACTTGACATCTAACACCACCAGCATGCATAACGAGTTGTACTGCCAACCCAAAGTCAGGAAGTTCGAATCTGCTAGGTCCTCTACAAAAGAAAGATGTGTAATTTCTTTCCATGTGATTTACAGCCACTGAAATACCCACTGAAGGGTCAGCTATGAGTTGGTTCTGTAGCAAGGGCACACAACAACACAACATCACCATCACTCAACAGTGGCTAAACAATCAGCTGCTAACCGAAAGGTCAGTGTTTAGAACCCAGCAGCTGTTCTTTCTGAGAAAGATGCAAGTCCGCTTCCCTAAAGTTTATAGCCTAGGAAACTCTGTAGGCAGAGGATATCTAAGGTATGGCACTTGCCTGGGGCTGACTTGAAGTGGAGGCACCACTCAGCAGTTTCTGTTAATCAATGAGGCCAAACAACCTTGCTCAAGCACTATAGACATCTAGAGCATAGAAAAGGGGCAGCAAAAGGGGGTTACAGAGGAGAGGAAGAATCATTCTGAGGGGCCACATATGTAAAAGACTAGGGCAACTAGACAAGAGGGAGGAGACCATTTTTGGCACCTGCCAGTTATGTGTTTATTATCTTAAAATTGTGGGGAGAGATACAATTTAGTGACTGCTGAGTACTCCTCACCCTCACTACTCCTCTACTTACAAGGCAGTTCAACCTTCTATCCTGTAAGATCACTATGAGCTCAAATGGCCCACTGCACACAGCAGCAGGAAAGCGGAACCAGGCTCTGCCCTGCCAAAATGGTCTATCCTTATTGAGCCCACCCACCCCATGAGCTTCAATAAATGCCAGACTGCATTTCTGGTGACTTGAGAGACACTGAACCTTCTCTTGTACTCTCCTATGGCCAAAGTTGCAGGAGTAGTAGTTACTGCTAATAAACAGTCTCTACCCTTCATTCAGGAAGAGTGCAAACGGTCATTGCAAAGACAGAAGAGGAACAAAAGACCAAAAT